GAATGAATGGGAAATTCACTTCCGGGGAACGGAGCCGTTCAAAAAGTGGGTGTTCACTGTTGAGCACTATGGCAGAGAAACGTAGGGAAGGATGTTTTTTTGGGTTGTTTAGTTTCAAAATATTGCTCTCTTCCACTCTTTTCTGCTCTCTCTCTCTTTACAACTCTGGAATCGTACCTACAGCACCTTTAAGCATCGCTCGTCCTCCTGGAAACCATAGTTCAATGGCCCTGCTCCTATTTGAAAGACCATTCTATAGCGCAGACAGTTTATTTAGTTTGTTTGTTAATTTTGTTGGTTTGTTTGTGTCTGTTTTCTAGGGACCGGCAGGAGGTGTCAGTTCTGCAGGAGGAAGTGGGCGGTCTGAACGGCCAGATCTCGGAGCTCCAGCGGGACGTGGAGGGCAGCAGGGAGCGTGAGGCGGAGCTGCTGGGCTTCACGGAGAAGCTGAGCAGCAAGAACGCCCAGCTGCAGTCTGAGAGCAACGGCCTGCAGGGTCAGCTGGACCAGCTCCAGGCCGGCACCACCGAGCTGCAGGCCCTCCTGCAGGACACCCACAGCCTGCTGGAGGACAAGGTGAGACACCCTGGTTATAAAAGAGAGGGAGAGAGGGGTGGGGAGGAGGTGAAGGTGTATCAGGTTGGTTAGGGTTTAGTGCTGGCCGGGCATTGGAGATATAGTTTGACTGGTGTGACCTCGCTGATGATCAAAAATCAATAACAAAATGTTCCAGAATAACTTCTCTATATTTTAATATTCTGAAGTAGACCTACTGTCACAAACTGTATTTCTCCTTCACCTCCAACCATTCCTCCTCCTTCTCTCCCTCTGTCTTTTCTTTCTCACCACCTCCATTCATTACTGACTTCACCTCCATTTTGTCTTTTCCCCTGCATTCATCTGTTTGTTTTCCTCTTTCTGAACCCATTCCTGCATCCTTTATCTCTGCCATCTCTTCCTCTACATCCCGTTTTCCTGAATAACTTCCATTCTACTCTCCTGCTCCCCAGTCCCAGAGGTTGAGGCAGGAGGAGGCACAGCGGCAGCAGGAGGTGCAGACCCTGCAGGGAGAGCGGGCGGCGCTGCAGACGGAAGTGGGCCAGCTGAGGACCAGGCTGGAGGAGGTGAAGGACGAGCTGGTCACCCAGAAGAGGAAGCAGACCGCCAACATCAAAGACCTCACCAAGCAACTCAGCCATGGTACCTGCTGTGCTGTTATTGTGATAGGACTACCACCCACACCTTTATGGTGATAGGGCTACCCCTGCGCTTTTATTATGATATGACTACACGTTTATTTTTTGTGATATGACTGACCCCAGCTTTTACTGTGATATGACTACTGCCACATGCGTTCATCGTGATATGACTGCGTTCATGCTTTTATTGTGATATGACTACACCTGCACTTTTATTGTGATATATTTACCCCACAATTGTATTATCTGATTGCCCAGATTGCAGTGTGACTACCCCCTGCTCTTTTATTGTGATAGGACTACCCCACACTGTTATTGTGATATGACTACACCCGCACTTTTATTGTGGTATGACTATCCTACCGTTTTATTCTGATATGACTACCCCTCGTGCTTTAGTTGTGATAGGACTATACCTGTTATGTTAGGTGATAATAGTCCTGCTTATTCCCTGCCCAGCACTTGTAATGTGATGAAAGATGTGATTAATTAAACGTGACTAGTGGTGGTGGTTGTAGTGGGGGGGGGGGGGGGGGGGGGGGGGCGTAGCGTAGCGGTATCTTGTGATGGAAGGGAGAGCACCTGAGCTAATGCGGGTACTTGTCATGCAGAGTACGTTGTTAGGCAGCCTGCGCTGCACAGCTAACGCATGCAACGCTAAAGATTAGCGCAGAAGCTTTTATCTCTTGGGGTCAGAAACTTTATTCAGAAACGTGTGTGTGTCTCTCTCTCTCTCTCTCTCTCTCTCTCTCTCTCTCTCTCTCTCTTTTGCTCTGCCTCCTGCCCTATTCAATTCAATTTATTGGCATGTAAAACGAAGAAGAACTTTGTGGTGTTACCATTTAAAGCAGTTAGGCTTTTAATTTGAAGCAGATAGCTTATGAATGTGTTTGTGCACTGAGCTCTATTTGTGTTGTCAGGTGCATAACTTGGGTAGAGGACATGCTGAAGGACGTATAAAATTCACCACATGCTAGTGTTTAGCTTAGCATGACATTCACTTAGCTTGGGTCTGTTCAGCTCTCTTGCATGAGGGGGCAGGTAGCTACTAATGTGATTAATGGTGTGTGTGTGTGTGTGTGTGTGTGTTTTTAGTGTGTTTGAGTGTGTTTATGCTCCAGGTGTTCAGTGTAAAGTGCTTGAGAAGAGAGGGTAGAAAAGCACTTTATACTCTGACGAGTTACAATTAACAACCCCAGAAACCATTCATCACTTGGATTAGAACAAAACCATGTCTCTCTGTCTCTGTCTCTGTCTCTCTCTCTCTCTCTCTCTCTCTCTCTCTCTCTCTCTCTCTCTCTCTCTCTCTCTCTCTCTCACTCTCTCACTCACTCACTCACTCACTCACAGCTCGTAAGAGATTGGACCAGGTGGACCAGAACGGGGGCTGTGATAGAGAGGGCAGCAGCATGGGCAGTCGCTCCAGTTCTTCAGGTACTACTTCCTGCTTCTTTGCCTACTTCCTGTTAACCCGAACCAGGAAGTTCACACACCCTCCCTCAAGTCAAGGTGGATTCATGACAGCATTTTCATGTTTTGTTTTGTTTAAAATGCTTACTCAACTGCTTTACATCAGCCAATTAAAAGCAGCACACTTCCAACTCGTTTTCTTATTTTTATCCTTTGTAAGCAGTTTCCTGATTTATGTTATTTATGGGTTTGCTTTCCAGGGAATCGTTGCCGTCCTCAGGAAAATGGTTAGTCTAAAACCAGATGGAGCTGACTTGACATACAACAGTTTAGATGCTGTTGTCTTTCTCGTCATTCCTCTGTCTCACCAGTCGTCTACCTACCAAGAGAGGGAAAGCAAGCTAAATAAGTGTTTCATTTTGTTTATTTTGGATACAAGTCAAGTTGTCCTGTAGAAGAGACAGAAGCGTACAATTAATTAATCATTTGAATTTAAATAAAGTAAAAGTAAATAAATGTTGACTTTTCGCCTTAATCGTCCTATTATTCAGCTGACTCCAACCCCACTAATATTCACTTTAACTTGGAAAGTACAATACTAGGGACAGCACCCTCTCTGGTGAAACACTGGTTACTGCAATAGCTCTTTCAGAAATTGTCATTAACTATGGCAAGTGACATCACACTGTGCTAATTGTGTTTGCTTCTATATTTGGTACTTTATTTTTGGTTTGCTCTAGTTAGAGTGTGCGTGTGCGTATGTGTTTGTGTGTGCGTGTGTGTAAGACTAGACATCGGCCTGGGTGGATTGTGGGTATAGCAGGGTGGAGGAGGGGCTGTCTTCCCTCTGACTGGTGGGGGCAATTGCTCTGTCGCTAGCTTAGCCACTTTTTAGAGTTTAACACGGTTTTAAACTCGTCGGTGACGCAAGAAGTCACGTGACGTCTTAAGCTCCATTGCTGTGTCATATGTACCTGTGGTTTAACCTGCAGCTGCGTTTTACCTTGATCTCAATTGCTGTGTCTTCAGAGAAATTCACATCAGACACTAGAGGGCGTATTTTGTGCGTGTTAGTCTAATCTCGAAACGGACATGGTTTTAGAGGAGACTAAACCAGTTTGCAGGATGAAACAAGGCTCCATTATAACCGACACACACAGAATTTGTTTTATGAATTATTATTATTATTAGTATTAATAATAATGTATGATACATTTACACTTATTACGCCAGATAGGCCTTCAGTACAATAACAATATTGGACATAGTCGATTTGGAATGAGCAGTGATATTTCACGGCTCACGGTGCTCAGGTCTCGGTCGTGCGTCCGCTCAGCAATAGCTTTACGCGCTTCAACTTTCAAGCGCTTCCATAAATTCTTTAAATGTGCCGGGCTGCTCGGTCTCCTGATGGAAGATCTACTGTTAAATGTGTTTGAGAGATCATCCCAAACAGACTTTCTTCGGAGCGTGGTGGTGGTGTCTTTCCTAGCATCTTCCACCGTGTCCACAACACCTCGAATGCAGTACAATAGCCTAAATATAACTTCTGCTCCTCGTTATAGTTCTCTATCCGAGACATGTTCATCCTAACTACCCTCTCCTCCGAGAATTTATAGGCGTGGAATTACCCTAATTACTCGCATATTAATTCGTCTTCAATTAATTAATTAATCACGTTCGCATGCACACCAAGAGAAAACAATGACAAGTAATTGATTGATTGACGTAGGTGAGGGCAGATTCAGATTCCAGACTCAGATTTCCACAAAAAGTAGCCTAGACTAATATATTTCAACATTATTTGCGTTTTATTATATTAAAGTTCACTTTACATTCCCATTACGTTTTTGTTGGTAATTATAGCACAAAATGCAACCAACATTAAGTTAAGACTGCATCTGCTGGGGTATAACTAGAAATCAGAGTACTTCCGGTTTCCAAGCAGTTCAACCCGAGTTTAACTAGGAATCAGCTGATCCTGTGTAGGTCATTACACAGCAATCAGGTTTAACTTTGTGCGCAGCTGCGTGTTAAACTCCAAAACCTCCGTTTTAAGGAGTACGGTTTTAAAGCGCAGCACAGCTAGCGCAATGCTAACTGACAGAGCAATTGGCCCATGATGTCTGGGCTCTGATTGGCACGGGTCAGTGGCTGTCCCGCTTGTCTTGGGGTTGAGGATAACGTGGGTTTGGGTTTTAGTGGGATCCAAGCACTTTTCTTTCGTTTTTCCCTTTCATTATTTATTTACTTTATATTTCCATTATTTATTTGGCAACTATTAGCAATATTAGCAATTAGTTGTTAATTCATTATTTATAATTTTCATTTAATATATATACATTTATTCAAACCATATTTAAGAACTGTGAGTGCATACATTTGTTAGCATGGGTGTCCCCAGTGGGAATTGAACCCCTAACCCTGGCAATGTTAATTCAAAACTCTACCAGTTGAGCTAGCCAGGAAAATGATACTATTTCATCCATAAATGTCAAAATTAAATGTGAATTTTCCTCATTATCATGATTATTGCATAGATATATTTTTGTATCCATATTTTAAGATTTATTTTTGTGTAGTTTTAATTCTTATTTAATAAATTTCATCTCTTTTTAATGTCTACTACTCTCCTGTACTTTATTAGGCTCGTGAGACCATCTTGACCCTCTTGTTTTCTTCACTCTTGCCAAATCTTGTTGGAAGTAAATTGTTTTTTAAATTTGGCAGACAAAGTCTTGGTGTCCATATAGCGTTTTTTTCTGAGCACCAGCGTCTTTTTTCAATTGGTCCCATTGAGGAGAGAGCGTATATGGCTGCCTAGAGGAAAAAGCGCTGCACCCAGCGTCTTTCTTCAGAGCCCTTCGCCTTTTTTGTGTAGCCGCTCCGAGCGCTTCTATTTGAAAATCTCTAAACTTTTCAGAAAGGCGCTGGTGTCGTCACTGTTGCTCCCCAGCACCCTTGCCAGCACTTTTCTGCCAGAGAAAAACGCTATATGGACACAGGGCCTAAAGCGCTCCTTGTTTGTCATGAAGTACAACTCCTGCCCCCTCACGCTAATTGGTCCCATCATTTGTTCATTTCTTGAAGAGGCTTCCCACGGGCTTGAGGCCAAACTTCTCTGCAGAGAGAAACAGAATGTGAGTGTGCAAGATCAGGATGGTCTCACGAGGCTAATACTTTCTGCCGTGACACCCAAATTCCCCGTCTGGGATTACTTAGGTGCCGTCTTCTCTCGTCTCATCTGATCTTATTGTTAGTGAAATGTCTCTTCCTCTCTGACACTCCCGACAGGTTCCCTGAACACGCGCCATGGTGGTGGAATCGGCAGCAGCGGCGGCGGTGGAGGCGGCAGTGCGGAGGACCGTTCCCCAGAGAGCCAGCAGCACCTCCAGACCCCCTCGGTGATGGTGGTGGACAGCTACCCCGAGGTGGACAAGACACTGCTGGTGGAGCGCATCGTCCGGCTGCAGAAGGCCCTGGCCCGCAAGCAGGAGAAGATGGAGTTCATGGAGGACCACATCAAGCAGCTGGTGGAGGAGATCCGCAAGAAGACCAAGTGAGTCGGCCCGGAGGAGGTGATGAGAAGGGGGTGATGAGGAGGAGGGGGTGATGAGAAGGGGTGATGAGGAGAAGGGGGTGATGAAGAGGAGGTGATGAGGATGAGGGGGTGGCGAAGCGGAGGTGATGAGAAGGAGGTGATGAGGATGAGGGGGTGGTGAAGCGAAGGTGATGAGGACGAGGGGGTGGTGAAGCGGAGGTGATAAGAAGAAGGTGATGAGGAGGAGGGGGTGGTGAAGCTGACGTGATGTGAAGGAGGTGATGAGTGATGAGGAGGAGGTGATGATGAGGAGGTGATGAAGACTATAAGGAGGTGTTTTCGATGGTGGTGGAGGATGTGCTGCAGTTCTCTCAACATACCAGCATTCTTCCTAAACTGCTGACGGACAGCGACAGGACAGACCTTAAGGGACCAGGAGTGCAGAAACGCTGTACTGCATTTATTACACCCAGCCCCGAGCAAGGACTGCAGTCTCATTCACAAATATGCAAATGTATGCTAATACACTGCTCATGTAGAGGCATTGGCTAATTATTTGCAGAGGTAAGGGGGCGGAATGCAGTCACAGGCTAATCTTGTTTTCCCCCCTCCTGCTCCTCTTCTCATGGGAGTGAGGTTTCATGGCTGCCAACACTGTTCACACCTGCTTCAATCTCCGAAGACTCTTGTCCCGCACCATTGACAATGTTCTCTAAATGACCTTGAGGAGCTGCTGAAGGTCTGACACTGCTACGCCTCGCACAGTCCGCAATTCGTCAGCAATTTCCAGCATACACGCACACACACACACACACACACACACAATGTGCTCTGCGATCTGATTATGCAAGGAGGACGTTGGGGTGGGGGGGGGGGTTGGGGAGAGGGTTGGATAATCTAGTAGTCAGGGTGTCTCTCTAAAGGTACTCGGTTCGATATCCAATGTACACAGTCTACCTTGTAGGCGTCCATGAGCAAGTTGCCATCCTAACCGCCTACTTGGTCCTGACTGACATCTTAAAAAAGAGTAATCCACCGTAAGTCGCTGAATGAAAGCATAGTGGCTAAATGGTACATGGCTGTGATGGGGATGAAATTGTCTCGCTGCCAGTTGGTCGTTTCTGTCTACACTACAGTTCAGATTCATCTCTCTCTTAGGGCCAGTAGAACCGAGCTCTCTCTGTCCGGGACTGGTTTCATCTGGTTTAATCTGGTCTCAACTGGTTTCATCCGATCTCATCTGGTTTAATCGATAACGGTGTATCATCTGCTTGGCAGTTTAATAGAAATTAAAGAGGCTTTTAATTTGAGTGTGTATCAGTTGAGTCGGTGCTGCCAGCACACACACACACACACACACACACACGTTCTTCCCCTGACCTTGATGTGCACACTTTCATTATTCTCTCTCTCTCTCTCTCTCTCTCTCTCTCTCTCTCTCTCTCTCTCTCTCTCTCTCTCTCTCTCTCTTACCCCCACTTCTTATTCCTGATGTACAAACTCGTGTTAGCGCTCAGGGTGGGAGAGCGTGTGAGATCTGGCGGAGGGCATCTTAATCACCTTGTGACCGGGACTGCAGAGGACCAGGGAGAAGCAATGGAGCAAAGAGGGCATTTTTTTAACTAGTGCAGTGCCCGTTCAAACGTGCCTGTTCTCGAGAACCACTCACCCAAACAACTTCACACTTGACACTTCCTTGGGTCCTCAGCAATACACCCGCCAAGTGGGAAGTTGATGGACAGACATACAGAGACTCCTCCCTTTATAGTTAGATTATTTGCCAGTTATTTGCTGCAGTGCTTTGACACTGTCGAATATGTCTGGATGGATTCCCTCCCTTTTTAAGCATTACAGAGGACACAAGTGTGAACTGAAAAAAACATGGGTTCAGTTATTATAATAATTATATATAGTTTCTGATGTTGGTTTGAAAGTAATTCCACCTAGACAATTTTCCGATTGTAAAAACATCTTAATGCACAGGAAAGGGGCCTTGCAAAACTTAACGGCATCTATCATTCTCAGTAAAACGAGACTGTACTCTCTCACACTCCTTCTGTGAGGTTGGACACGGAGGCTCCTCCTTCCCCTGCTCCTCATTTGGCTTCCTGCCATCGTCTCACACTGAAGCCATTAGCCGCAACCTACATTCTGGCCTTTATAAAATGAGAGGACAACTCCCCCCCCGGCTGCTGCTTCTCGATATAGAGCCGGGGAGTCGCTGCCTGTGGGTGTGGATCTGTCCTTTCTGCCATCCCAGCGGAGGCGCGCTGGGAACTGCAGCTCAGGCCATCGATGAGATGGAGCTGAGGTCAGCGCGGAGACTGCAGGGACATCAGAGGACAAAAGTTTAAAAATGTCTTGCGTCTTCAAGGGGTTCAGTGCTATTCATCTGCAGGCAGTAATTGAATACAACCAACATAAGCTAATTAAAACTTAATGAACAGGGTTTTGTTATTATTCATATGTGTAGCATTATTCCAAATGCCTAAATCTGCACAATCTGTCCCTGTGTGGAATGGAACAGGTAAAAACTGAATATCTTTAACAGCTAACTTTTAACAGCTTCTCTGAGCTGCTTCTCGTTGTTTCCTTTTGGAGAGAGAGACACGTACGCCATCAGAATCCAAGCAGCTCTTTGCTACGAGAGGCAGCAGAACAGATGGCAGTGGTCTGCTCGTTAGCCTGGAAAATGCTTTTCCTCATCCGAAACGCCTAAAAGAAATCCTTAGTTGGAGGTCTTTGGATAAAGCTGCAGCGAACAATTAGTTCCAGTTGTTGCAATGAATCGGCTGTTGTTTAGTCTATGAAATGTAGGGCTGTAACGATATGCATATCGAAACCGAAATCGCGACACTCAGAGCCACGAACCTGTCTCGCAGTGTGAGAAGGCAGAATCGCGACACGCGCTTTCTAACTGTGCGTTCACACCGAAAGCGCACAAAGAGGAATCCGCCTTGTCCACTCCACCTAAAGGCTAATTTACACCGGGGACGTGTGCGTCGCGTTACGGCTGCGTTGCGTTCGCCGCTGCTGATCGCTGCCACTCTAGTCAATGAGAGCATTTACACCGGGCGCGCTGCGTAACGTCTCAGCTGCGTCCCAGGAGCGTCGCGGCTTCTATTTTTGACGCGAGACGCTGCTGAAACGCGTCAATTTAAAATAGAGCAGACCGACCGGGCAGGAAGTGAAATAGTAAAAGCCATGGAGCATCCGGTCAATTTTCAAAATAAAACACAATACTCATGTAGCCTATCACAACTTCACATCAACATTACGTCATGACCGGTGGTACCAGGGTCAGCAGTCAATCAATCAAAGGTTTACACAGTTTATCGCGGGATCTCGCGGTCTCACGTACGTTCAGGATTATCGCGTGATCTCGTGATCTCGCGTGAATACGGCTGGCTCACAAGGCAACGCTACGCTCCGGTGTAAATTGACGCAGGGGCAGAGGACGCAGCCGTAACGCGGCGCAGATGTCCCCGGTGTAAATCCGGTGTAAGTCGCTTATGTCGCTTTTGTCCCCCTTCAGAATGTTCGTTCTTGCTTCTAAATTTAAAGGCCAGCACGCCACACGCGCTTAAACACCACCACGCAACTACTGCTGTAGCACAGCCCATTTACCGACATCGTTGATCACGGAAAGTTACTTGATGGAAAGTTACTTGATAAAGTCATTAAAAACAGAATTACTCCCCAAATATATCATGGTCTGGGTGAATACTCGATTCTGATTGGTTGGAGGGTGTAGGTTAAAAAGTGTTTATTTACACCTAGGAAAGACGTTGACGCTATGAAGACGCTATGGCCACGTTGCTTGGCAACGCCTGCATACGGGAGATATTAAATTGTCCGCTCGACTTGTAAAAATAAAAAAACCCTCACGATTTTAACTCTAAAACACATTAAAGTATTATTAA